ATAAAAATTCAATTTTTTCTTAAAAAATTTTAATTAATATACAATTATATTGTCGATTGAAATTTAATTTAGTCGTTTAAACAATTAAATTAAAATATCAAACTATCACAATTAAAGATAAAAGGTATTGTGTTCATTACAGTCTGACCCATTATTTAATTTTTTTAGTTTTATTCTAATAGATAATATAATTATATACTAATTATGATTTTTTTTAAAAAAAAATTGGATTTTTATTTTTGATTTTATTTGTATAACTGACATAATAGAATATAAATTTTGGATGTAAAATTTATGTTCTATTATGAATGACTTAGACCCCTTATTTGATTTTTTAGTTTTATTCTAATAGATAGTATAATTGTATATTAATTATAATTTTTTAAGAAAAAATTAAAATTAAAATTTTAATTTTAATTTTATTTTAATAAAATGATATAATAGAATATAAATTTTGATTTTAAAATATTTGATATTCTATCTTTAATTGAAATATTTTTAATTTAAGTAATATATTTTAAACTTAAGAGCTCTAATTAATATATATTTATAAATTTCTGGGGGTCTAAGTCTAACTTCTTAACAGATATATTTATAGCAAGGCCTAAGTGATACACGCATATAAAATTTAGGGGTTTGTGTATAATATTTTAAATATCACAGAGTTTGAGTGATTAAGTGACAAATCTTATGAAAAAGTAAATGAATTAATTTTCCTTCTAACTCACCAAAAATAATTCCTCTAAAATCAGAAGGAAAGTGGATGAAAAGTTATTATTTATATTGAGATGTATTTTCATATTATGTGTACATATATTATGTGTACATATTATCATATAAAAATATAATATATATATATATATATATATATATAATATTAAAAATTAAAAAAGAAATTCATCTTAAGTAGGGGTAAAAGATTTTGACTCAACACAATCACACGATTCGAATTCGACATGAATTTTATGACACAAACTTGATTATACCTCAATACGAACTTGAAAATGATCTGACACGCAAATAAGAAATATAAAAAATTCATAATTTTATGACTCAACACGAATTTGACAAGACACGACTCGATTGTCACCCTTAATATTAAATAAAAAAAATTAAAAAAAATTGATCATTTTTATTTTTCATACATCCAACCAAATATAAAAGAAAAAAAATATATCATTCTTACTTTTTATTTTTAAAAGATAAAAAGTTCATCATTCCTATTTTTTATCCATCCTACCAAACGGACTATTAAGGAGTCCAGAACTTATTATAATTCTGTTTCCAATCGAATGAGTTCTAGGTTTTGTTTTGTTAGATAGGAACAGAAAGCGCCAGTCCCAGAGCAATCAAGCACAATAAATTCTTTTTTCTTTTTCTTCTTCTTCTTCAGATTTCCGGGAAAATAGAGAAGAAAATATGAATAAATAAGAAGAGTTAACTAGGGTGGACTTTTCATGCTATTAATAGGATGCTTTTCTTATTTTCCTCGCAGTTCGGTGAATCATAAGCAGTGGATACCCAGATTCCAGAATCCCACTTATAGTCCAAGAATCTGTTCATACAGTCCATACATACCCACCCACGCTTCCTTTCAGGGAGGTAAGCTCTCTCTCTCTCTCTCTCTCTGTGTAAGTGAATATTCCATAATTCCTTATCTAGATGATATGATGTTCATTCATTATCAATGATTTCATATTCTTGATTAAATTGATTACTTGTTTTGTAGTAATTTTTCTTTTTGTATTAATAGATTGGATAATACATCACGTAAAAAATATTTTATAAATTGCCTTACGTTTTACCTCTGCTTATTTGAAAAGTTCAATCTCACCATGGGTATGTATATGTAATAAGATCATGTTATGGAATTTTGAGAATTGTTCTAGTTCTCTTATAGATTTTTTTCTTACCAGGTGTTAATTGTTCTGGTTTAGCTGATTCTGAAGTTAAGTTTTTCATTACTTACACGAACTGCTATATAAAGGAAGCAACAATGTCTACCCCTAATGACAATGGGGCTTCGGTTAGGCTTGAGGTTTGTAACCAAGCCTTTGTATTCCTTAATGTAGGACAAGTGATACTTTATAGAGCAATATTAATTGTTTTTTGGGTTATTAGAGTTTATTAACATATGAAGTTTCTTTGGTCAGGGAAAGTATGCTGCAATGTTAGTGTGTTGGCTCCTAGGAAATGGGTGCCTCTTTTCTTGGAACAGTATGCTGACAATAGAAGATTACTATGGGTATTTGTTCCCGGTAATTGCCATCTCCCGTAGTTGCATTCGTTTCGTTAGGTTTCTAATATGATTTTTCTTTGATGTGTAAAGTTCGAAATTTGGAGCCTTTAATTGCAGTTAGTCATTATATGCTTCATTCCTAAATCTAAATGCTTGGTTGTGTATTAGGCGGATACCATTTATGTGCCTTTTGTCCCTAATTCTGTTCTTCTTTAGAACATGTTTTTTTTTTCTCGGGTGTACCTCTGCTTATGTTTCAGTTCATAAGTAATCGTTTCTTGATGTTGTTCGCTGCTGGTTTTTTTATATTTCTAGTTGTATGTTCTTTTTTCCCAGTTTTGCTTGGTAACAGTAACAATATTGGTTGTACAATGTTAAGAATAGTAGGACAGAATGTGTAAATTGTTAATAGTAAGGGGGTGTATATGTAATTCTTATTAGTGTAGATTAACTATAAATACAAGTGATGCATAAGAGTTAGGTTAAGTTTTTAACTTCTCTCTTTTTCCCTAATATTATGTTATGTTAATTTTCTAAACCTAACATGGTATCAAAGCAAAACCAATACAAATTTTAAACTAGTTCGCAATTGTGTGAATTTTTAACTATTCTGGTTCTGTGGTCGACGTTGTACTGTTCATCGAGTTTCGCTTTAGTGGTGTAGTCGACTAGTTCTGCATCAGGGTGGCTTCTGGTTCTGTAGTCGACTAGTTGTTCTTGGCGTTAGGTTGGTGTGGCTGCTATTTGTTGGCTGTCAACGTTGTGCTGCTCGTCGACTGGTGTTGGTTGTTCATCATTGTAGGTGGTGGTGCTGTCGGTGGTGGTACGGTGGTGTTGTCGCTCGTTGCGCAGTCATTCGTCGTCGTCTGTGTTGAGGTTCTATTGTGTCGCTTGTCGTGGTGTTGTGGTTCTGTTGTGGAGTTGATTGTTGTTGTTGTGTTGTGTCATTCGTTGTTGGTGGTGAGTTGCAGTCGAAACAGAGGAGTCTTTTGGAACCCTAACCAACGAAGAAGATAAAGTTCAAACCCGGTTCAGCCTAAAACGGTTTGGTCTCGGTTCAGTATAGTTTATGTGGTTCAGACCGGTTCAGTGATCCAGAGAGTCAAACCGGTCCGGCAGCGGTCCAGAGGACTCAGCATGTCCGGTTCAATAGTCCAGCGTCTTTTCCTTCCCCGGTTAAGTGGTCCAGTCAGCTTTCCAGTCCAGTTCAGCAGTGCAGTACACTTCTACAGTCCGGTTCAGCAGTGTTGTACACTTTTGTAGTCTGGTTTACTTAGTTTTTACACCGGTTCAGCTTGACTCAGTTGGTTTTTACTCCAGTTCAACCTGATTCAGTTGGTTTCTACTCCGGTTCATTAGTCTCAGCGTTCTCTTGCAACACTTCTTGTTTGCTATTTGCTGCACCATTATGGAACCCAAGCAAGATACTAGATCCCAGCAACAGGCTGTCCCATCTCCCTCCATTGCTACTTTTGCCCAGTCAGGTATTGCTTCTACTAGTTTATTGTCCTCCACTCGCAGTCCCTAGATCATAGACTCTGGCACTTCTGACCACATGACTGGTGCGTCTAATGTTTTTTCTACTTAACAGTCTGCTACTTCCACACATAGTGTTACTCTTGTTAATGGTACTTGTTCTAAAGTTTCAAGTCTAGGAATTGCTCACTTGAGTCCTGATATGTCCCTATCTTCCGTGTTATTTGTTCCTCAGTTTTCTTTTAGTTTACTTTCCATTAGTAAGATTACCTGTTCTCTGAATTGTTTTGTAACCTTTTATTCTTCTTATTGTGTCTTTCAGGATCTCAAGACGAAGAGGAAAATTGGTACGGGGCATGAAGCTGATGGCCTATATTACCGTGATTTTGATTCACCTACCCAGGCTCTACAAACTTCGTTGTCTCCTTTTCAATGGCATTGTCGTCTTGGGCATCCCTCTCTCCAGAATCTGAAGCGCCAAGTTCTCAGCCTTAGTTATGTGTCGTCTTTATCTTGTAAAGCTTGTCAACTTAGTAAACATCACCGTGTGTCTTTTCAATCTAGAGTCAATAATCGTGTATCTAGTCCATTTGAGTTAGTACATTCTGATATATGGGGTCCCATAAAGAATATTTTATCTAATAAATATTCTTATTTTGTGACATTTGTGGATGACTATTCTTGTGTGACTTGGTCGTTTTTTATGAAAGCTCGGTCTGAATTATTCTCTATATTTGAAAAATTTTGTAAGGAAATAAAAACTCAGTATGGTTGTCATATATGTACTTTACGTTCCGATAATGTTCGAAAATATGAATCTGATCATTTTTCAATTTATCTTAGTAAAACTGGCATTATTCATCAGACTTCTTGTACTTACACCTCTCCACAGAATGGTGTTGCTGAACGCAAGAACCGCCATTTGTTGGAAGTCACTCGTGTCCTGTTATTCTAAATGAATATTTTTCGATATTTTTGGAGTGATGTTGTTCTTACTGCTTGTCACCTTATTAATCGTATGTCATCCTCTATGTTAAATGGGCAAAGCCCATATTCTGCTATTTTTCCTGGTAAGCCCTTATTTTTTCTGACTCCTAAGATTTTTGATTGTGTCTGTTATGTTCACAATTTGGGTCCTGGGTTTAACAAACTTGACCCTCGAGCTACCAAATGTGTATTTCTTGGTTACTCCCGCATGCAGAAGGGGTATCGTTGCTACAGCCCTTCTCTGCACCGATACTTTACTAGTGCGGATGTTATATTTGAAGAATTTGTTTCATACTTTTTAGCACTTTCTCAGTCTTTGGATCTGGACTTTGGATCCTTTCCTGTACCACCATTTCTTTCCTTATCTTCAGATATTCCGCTATCCACTATGTTCCCATCTACTTTACCTCTCTATGTTTACTCTCGCCGTCCTCGCCCATCGACTGAAGTGGCCGTACCGTCTTCCTTACAGTCTTCTGATCCTGGTACATCAGGTAATTTAGATTTTTTACCTATTGCTCTTCGCAAAAGTACTCGTTCTTGTGTTACTAATCATCCCATTTCTCATTTTGTTTCATATGATGTCTTGTCTCCTGTCTTCTCTCATTTTATTTCTCAATTATCTGCTATATCTATTCCTAAGCATTTACAGGATACATTATCTGATTCGGGTTGGAGGAAAGCTATGGAAGAGGAGATGGATGCTTTACATCATAATGGGACTTGGGATCTTGTTCCTTTACCCTCTGGTAAATGAACTGTTGGCTGCCGTTGGGTGTATACTGTTAAATTTCATCCAGATGGTTCTGTGGAGCGTCTCAAAGCCCGGCTTGTTGCAAAGGACTTTACTCAGACTTATGGTATTGATTATGAGAGGACTTTTTCTCCTGTTGCCAAAATTTTCTCTGTTCATATCTTGATTTCTTTGGCTGCTAATCTTGATTAGCCCTTGTTTCAGTTAGATGTCAAGAATACCTTCTTATATGGTGATTTGGTTGAAGAGGTATACATGGAGCAGCCACTTAAGTTTATTGCTCAGGGGGAGTATGGTAAGAGTGTATGTCGTTTAAAAAAATCTTTGTATGATTTGAAGCGATCACCAAGGGTATGGTTTGGTAAGTTTTCAGATACAGTTTTAGAGTTTGGTCTTCTTCAATGTCAGATAGATCATTCTATGTTTCAGAGACATGCAGATGTTGGGTTTGTCCTATTGGTGGTCTATATAGATGATATTGTGATTACTGAAAATGATTTTGAGGGGATTGCCAAGTTAAAAGTATTCTTACTGGATCGATTTCATACTAAGGATTTGGAAAAACTCAGATATTTCTTGGGTATTGAGGTGGCTCGATCTAAACAGGGTATTTATTTATCTCAGAGGAAATATGTACTTGATATGCTTGAGAAAACAGGTTTGCTGGGTGGTAGACCGATTGATGTTCCTATGGAGATCCGAATCAGATATTATTGATGGATGATGTTGTATTGTTTGAGAATCTGGGTCGGTATCGCAGATTGGTTGGGAAGCTTAATTACCTCACTATTACTCGACCGGATATTTTCTATGCAGTTAGTATAGTAAGTCAGTTCATGGGATGTCCTAGAGTACCACATTGGGAGGCAGTTACGCGTATTCTGCAATACCTCAAACGAGCTCCTGGACTTGGACTGCTATATCGAGCTAATGGACATCTTAGAGTGGAAGGTTTCTCAGATGCTAATTGAGTTGACTCTTCTTCTGATCGGAGATCAACCACTGGTTACTATACTTTCTTAGGAGGTAATGTTGTCTCATGAAAAAGTAAGAAACAACCCGTGGTAGCAAGATCTAGTGTTGAGGCTGAGTATAGGGCAATGACATATACGACGAATGAGTTGACTTGACTACTACACTTCCTCTAGGAAATTGGATTTTCAGTTCAACTTCCTTTACAGTTGTTCTGTGACAACCAGACAGCTATTCATATCGTTGTCAATACTGTGTTTCACGAGAGAACCAAGTATATTGAGGTTGATTGTCACTTTATTCAGGACAAGATAGTAGCGGGGGAGATTACAACTCTATTTGTGAAATCTGAAGATCAACTTGTAGATATGTTTACCAAAACATTGAGTCGTACACGTCTTACAACTATTTGTTCCAACCTTGAATTATATGATATATATAGTCTAGCTTGAGGGGGAGTGTTAAGAATAGTAGGGTAGTATGTGTAAATTGTTAATAGTAAGAGGGTGTATGTGTAATTCTTATTAGTGTAGGTTAACTATAAATACAACCAGACAGCTATTCATATCACTGTTAATACTGTGTTTCACGGGAGAACCAAGGATATTGAGGTTGATTGTCACTTTATTTGGTACAAGATAGTAGCGGGGTAGATTACAAATCCATTTGTGAAATCTGAAGATCAACTTGCAGATATGTTTACCAAAGCATTGAGTCGTACACGCCTTACAACTATTTGTTCTAAGCTTGAATTATATGATATATATAGTCCAGGTTGAGGGGGAGTGTTAAGAATAGTAGGGTAGTATGTGTAAATTGTTAATACTAAGAGGGTGTATGTGTAATTCTTATTAGTGTAGGTTAACTATAAATACAAGTGATGTATGAGAGTTGGGTTAAGTTTTTAACCTCTCTCTTTCTCCCTAATATTATGTTATATTAATTTTCTAAACCTAACATACAGGAAGCACCTAATGCATGCCCTTGGAACTATGTCATCAACAACTAATTATACTTGACTACCACTCAACTTGTGCAATCCAAAAACAAACAAACAACACTCAGCCATTATAGGATAAGTAGAAACAAAACTAAAGAAACATCTGCAATTTTCCAAGGAATCAAAATCTCTGAATTCCCTTTTACGTCCTGTGCCAAGGTCAAATCTTTGACTCACGACTGCCAGACACCCTGCACTTTACCTTTTGGCACACTAATGTGATAGAGCCTTAATCATGTTTTCTTACATATTTGATTATTGGATTCAATCCGTGCATGGTATATATTGTTATAGTTCTTAGTTAAACAAATTTGCATTTCAATTGGTATAACAGATTTCTTCACTTCACAGCGATACCACCCCTCAAGGGTTCTTACACTTGTTTATCAACCTTTCGCACTTGGGACACTTGCAGTACTGACTTACTATGAGGCAAAAATCAATACCAGAAGACGCAATCTGTTTGGATATACCCTTTTCTTCATAAGTACTCTCCTGGTTCTAGTTGTAAGTGCTATTGCTTTTTTTTCCCTGGTTGTTTTTCCTACATGTACTCTTACACTGTTGAATATCACATCTTGTAAAATTCTGGATAGCACATTATACTTGCTTCAGTGCCACATTATTGGTCATTTTAGTACTTTGATTTATTTGTTCGTTCATTTTTCTATAGTTGGATTTAGCTACATCTGGGAAAGGAGGAATTGGAACTTATGTTGGCATATGTGCCCTGAGTGCCGCTTTTGGAGTTTCAGATGCTCATGTTCAGGGCGGAATGATTGGAGACCTCTCATTCATGCAACCTGAGTTTATTCAAGTTGGTATCAGTCCTTAGCTTACTTTGTTAAGCTTATTTTGCTTGTAACAAATGTTTATCCTGTTACTTTTTTTATTTCCATTTGAAATTTGACAATCTTTTTCTTTATGAACTCTACAGTCTTTCCTGGCTGGTTTGGCTGCATCAGGGGCTTTAACATCTGGTTTGAGGTTGATTACAAAAGCAGCATTTGAGAATTCCAAGGATGGCCTTCGAAAGGGAGCCAGTATGTTCAAATCTCCTATTAATGTTGTTTTTTTTTTGCAATGCAAAGATTGTTGGGCAATTTACTACTACATACTGTGATTAGAACTCTCTGCTTATCTGTATTGAAGGAGAATTTCATGAGATTTATGTTTTGTTTTTATCCGAAAGACCAAATACTTCAACTATATGATCAGTTCCATTCCTTTACTTTTCACTTTGTTCTGGTAGTTTATCTCTATGATCAGCAATTTTTATGTTTTCTTTTCAATTGGTCACATTTGTTATTTCCAGCTGGACTCTCAAATCATTTGTTATTTAGCTGGTTAGTAAGTCGCTGCTGCTTACCTTCAACTTTATTTATAGTTTCTTTGAAGTCACTTAAATCTTGCCAGAATGCTGACTGTTAATGTGGATCCGATTGCATATGGTACTTCAAATTGATTTCCTTGATGTGTAATTTCATTTAAAATGTGTCCTGTCAATTTCACTTATCCAGGGCTAAAATGCTATGATAGCATATGGTCTTTTATAATTCATTTCCCATTATGCACGATTGAATGGGCACAGCAATGTCATGGTCATTCATGGAAAGAGATGGCTAAAGCTATAAGATTTGTTGCCATTAATTTGACAGTATCAAAATACAAAATCCACCCAACTTGAGCAGCACATTGATACATTATATTTACCTTGTTCAGGTTCTTACTCGACCTGGGAAGCAAGGCCCTTTTCCAAACCTTGTATCAATGTAGAACATGTCTAGGACATGGACACACACCGACACTTGAAAAAAATTGTTTAATTTGTTGTTTGACTTTCATAAACATTGGGAACATGTTCAAGGCAAGCTTTTCTTTTCTTTTTTGGAAGAAAAAAAAATTGGGCGTCAAATATAAATTAAGAAACCCCTCATATATTTATGTGAAAAAAGAAAAAAGGATCCTGTGAAGCAGCTATCACCTTACAACCATTAAATCTAAAGGAAACAAAATATAGGAAGAGGGAAGAGGATAGACAGGAAATTACCAATGTTACCTTTTACAACCATGACACCTGATGACTTTTGTTGCCTTTCAGCAGCCTCATGTGGTTGCCAACATTATATTCATTTTTCTAAAAGTCCATATTCCTTTTCATAGTATTTTTTTTCATGTTAGTAATGTTTAAATTTTAAATAATAAATCAATGATGTACTTCAGTATGACTAATTTGTATTTATGATTATGTCCTCGCATGTTCATGTTTGCTTTTAGAGAATTTGTGATGCCTTTTCGATCTCATGTCTTATCTCTGTGTCCAATGGCCAGATTTGTGCTTCTTAGTCCACAGGAATGAAATTATCACTTCAATTTTTATTTCTTGATTTTTTTATATAGTTTTGAAGGTGTAAATCCGTGAGTCTCCACTATACAACAACATTTTGCTAGATTGAAATCAATTTCAAGAGAATGGTTTCACTTTCTAATATTGTGACGGAGTGTGTCTATATTGTGTGTTTGAAATTTGTAAGTTTCGTTTGAAAACATTTTAGTATTGTAACTTACTAATATTTGTGTCCATTTTGCAGTTTTGTTCTTTGCTATCTCCACAGTCTTTGAGCTGCTCTGTGTTCTTCTCTATGCATTTATCTTTCCAAAGCTACCGATTGTGAAGTACTACCGCTCAAAGGCAGCCTCGGAGGGATCCAAAACTGTTTCAGCTGACCTTGCTGCTGGTGGCATTTACACACAACCCAGAGAAGAAGTATTGCTCTTTCGCTTTATAGGATGATACTGTCGGGCAAGTTGTTTCTGGTAACCCGAGATCAAATCTTTTTTTTGTCATTAATGCAGGCTCAGGAAGATCCTAAACAACCAGAGAGGCTGAGCAACAAAGAGTTGTTATTTCAAAATATTGATTATGCATTAGATATGTTTCTGATATTTTTGCTGACTTTGTCGATCTTCCCTGGGTTCTTATCTGAAGACACCGGATCACATGGCTTGGGCACATGGTATGATATGTGTAACCACCTGTCAGAAGTCATATTTTCTAGCTCCATTACGAAATTTAAAACACTTGTAAATTTGTATTTGTTTCTTCTCGGTAAATTCTAACATTGGTCATATTTCAGGTATGCCCTGGTCCTGATTGCAATGTACAATGTATGGGATCTTATCGGGAGATATGTTCCACTCCTGAAATGCACAAAGTTGGAATCACGAAAAGGACTCATGATAGCGATACTTTCTCGTTTCTTACTCATTCCAGCCTTCTATTTCACAGCCAAATACGGTGACCAGGGCTGGATGATAATGCTGACATCCCTTTTGGGGTTAAGTAATGGTTACCTAACTGTCTGTGTTCTTACTTCTGCTCCGAAAGGTTATAAGGTTTGTTGATTCCATACATAGTGCTTTAAACAACCGCTTTCTTAAAGTTTTGAGATGGTATTCCGATGGAAATCTAATTGATATGTTGTTTGTGATGCACGGGTTTTGTAGGGACCAGAGCAGAATGCCTTGGGGAATATACTAGTGCTATTTCTTCTAGGAGGTATATTTGCAGGCGTAACAAGTGATTGGCTGTGGCTCATAGGCAAAGGTTGGTGAGTTTACGGTTTATATTGTCTTAGTTTGGACAGGAGAGACAACACATTCTCATTTCATTGAAAGTGATTCTTGAATGAATAGAAAAATGGATTGTTAGCCATCCATTAACTTGATTGCTTATTTATGTTGAGGTCACATTGAGAATTCATGTACAGATTTCTAGTAAAAAGTGATTAGTTTTGCAAATAACCAGGCAGCGAATGGTTTGGCAATGGATTGGGAGAGATCGAACCCTAAAGTCATGCGAATTCTTGGGCATTATTGGACCAAGCAGGATTTGAACCAGCGTAGACATGTTGCTAACGAATTTATAGTCAGTGCCCTTAACCGAACGGGCATCGACCTAAGAAGAATCCATTTTAGGATGGTAATCCATGGTCACCTTCATTTCGTAGTATTCAAGATGAACTCACTGCGTCTCAAGAACGAGCTTTTGAAAGCCGGTCTCCTTGCCTCAGTGGAATCCATGATACAGCCCACCAACAGAGGCCAATATACAATGGCCTTGATTAGATTGTGAGAAATTTCTAATATGAGCTCACAAGTTGATACAAAATTAGTGATAATTCTAAATATTCCCAGGAAAATATAGAGATATCTCTTATGTTACCCATAATATGTGGAAGTATTAACGTAATTTTATAGTCATTCGATTTGAATGTTTGGTATGTGTAGACGAATAGGATTAGTGCTTTCCCATGAGGGAATTCTTCTTCTTCATTGCCTCTTATTTTAATTACGAGGTCTTTAACTTTGCCTTTGGACTGGTGGAAATTGAAAATTTGATATCGACAGAGTTATCATTAACACAAACCTTAACTATACAAAATGCAAACTCAACACTACACAAAGCCAAACTTTACACAAATGTGAATGAGTTATAGTATCTCAACAATAAACTATAGGGCAATCCCTCATAAGCTCTTGGTCATTATAATGTTTCTCAAGACTGTTACTCTAATGACCCTCAAATCTCCACCGGCCAATGTCATATGTGACCTAGTAAAGATAGGAACAAATTATAAATTTAGACGTTTTGTATTCGAAATATGTCAATTCACTTAAAATGTCTACCTTTGATTGAATCAGGAAAGAGATTAGTCGATGTACATGATAATTCACTCACTTTGAACGTCTGCTTTTGACCGAATCAAAAAAAAAAACTTATCAAAATATATATAAGTTGAATGAGACACTCTGACCACAATACCACAAAGAAAAATCCCAACCAACCAGTCGGATGGTGTTGTTGGTGAATCCACTTGGTGGCGCAAAATCCCAAGTACCAGAAGGGAGAGAATCAAAGGATTGCGTCGCGACAAACATTCAACCCATATTCTCTCTCTTAAACATGTGCATGACCATTTTTTAATCAAACTATGCAGTAATTTTTAATTCAATTTGAACTGTTTTAGATCTAATCCTTGTTTTATATGTCCAAAAAGCCATTTTTTCAAATCCTCAAACAACTATACGACCAACATACTCAGTCCTGGGGAATTGCTCTTCCTCGAGTTGTGAAGATAACCCAAAAAGCTTAAAAACTTTTCGAGATTCATTGTTTGCATACAAACACAAATTCAACACCTCGTTAATCACCACTCTAAAGCTAATCACTCCAGTAAAAGTAGTAGCTAACCCACACTTATAGATCTTGGGGGCGTTTGGTCTTCCAAGTTATTATTCTTTCCGTTCTTTCATTTTAATAGTTTTTACGATTATATGGGTTAAACCATTAGAAGTTTCCTTTAATTTTCATTGTCATCATGTTAAGAGATGTTTGGGTTTGCACCCGACTCTTGAAAGGATTGATTATACACAATTTTATTATTTTTTTTTGTATAAATAAACTTTTATTGCGAGTCAAACTCAGTTTCGAATATAATTCGGCTCTCGTTTTTATCACTTTTTTTTTTAAGTACAGTAAGAAAATAAGAGCCAAAAGAAAACGGAAAAGACAGGGCAGGTGGCACAACAGGTAAAAACAAGTATGAAATTTACAGTAGCACAAAAAGACAAAAGGACCCCTGTTCCCCCTTTGTCATTAAGCTTCACGTGAACCCCCGACATCACATACAAAAACAGCAGGAGGGAGGGTTAAGTAAAAGGCCAAACAAACAAGAAGCCGAACAGATCATTACACAAACAAAGTAGAATGATTAGGGGCAAAAATGTAAATGCACTGATAGGCAAAGTAACAGTGGACGACGACGACGTTGAATCGGTCTTTTCGAACTGGAGTGAATTCACGGCCAAGGGCATGTTCTCCTGGTCAGGGCTACACTTGGACTGGTGGGGTGGGTGCGCACTGTACATGATGGCCCGCAATACAGCTGAAACGGTTGGTATGTACGCCGTTTTGTTCTTTGCTAGTAGCCACGTCAGCCCCATTAGCTGGCAGTCTCTGTTGAACATCTTGTTCAATCTGTCACCGTTGCCGTCTTCATCATCGTGGGTTCCATTTTTACCCTCACCTTTTAACTGTGTGAAAAAAACCAATTACATAAGGACAGTTCATACTTTTTTTTAACCATTTTGCAACTTCAAAATTTCAATTTAGACACAAATATTAAAATTTTTACATTATACTCCCAAACAAATAAAAATGTAATTTGCTTTAATAAAATTGGGTATAAAATGAGAAATATATAAATAATTATGCATAGAGATAAGAATATATATATGTATATATATATATATATAACAAAAAAAGAAAAACCATCAGACAAAGAAAGAGACGGTTTGGATGGTATACCATTTTTTTTTTTCATTTTAAAAAATATTTAAGATGTAAATTAAAATTTTCCAAATACAAAATGTCTTTTTCCCTATAATACACCTACCGAGACAAAAGCCAAAAGTGAACCTCGTAGGTGGACGGATTGAACCGAAAAAACTCCATAAAATAAACAACGGCTTATAACACTTATATTTTATGACCGAATTTACATTTGATAAATAGACCAAACAAATTGGGTATTCATGATATACACTCGAGACACTACCATATAAATAATTTACGATATGCCCCCCAAAAATCTCCTTAGCCTTCTATCTAAGGAGTAGGGTAGTGATGTATTTGATAGGTGGTAGCTTTCTATGGCATTTGTGCTCACTGCCAGAATGAGTCTGTTTTTTGTGTCACAAAATGGCAAAATTTACCTGGATACGTCTGGCCTTTGCGTATCCATTTGCCAGTGGCATCTATCCCAAGGCAACAGTTATTTTATTTTTTAAGTTTAATGGTCAAAATATTTAAATCAATTTATGTATATTTTAATTAATTTTTTTAAATCCAATTAAAAGTTCTTCATTTATTAAATTTAAAATATTTAGATTTACCACTCGCCTTTTACCATTTGAATTATCGAGGAAGTTAAAGACAACAAATTTTTAACATTAGAATTACAACTTTACAACTCTATTTTCTCCCTTATGAGTTTCAAATATCATTATTTTATTATTAAATTAAATAAATTATATAAATTTTTTTAATCTAAATAGTATTAGTATTACTAATGATATGGACTTAAACTCAAAAAAAGTACTTTGTTCAATAACAAGTCATGCAAAATTATACTAAGAGAGGGGGGCAATGAATTTTGAACCTATCACTTACAGTGAGCAACGGTGGAATGGCTACTAGACCAACAACGATTCCCACAATTGATTTTAAATGCCAAAAGTAAAAAGAAGAAACTAATTGAAGACTAACCTTTTGTAGAGCTCCGAGGCACTTAGTACACCCAGCGTACGAAGAATTCCGGCAATGCTTCTCCAAATTCCTCACCGCAGCAGTCGGAGTCGCGTTAAGATGCGAAGTCGTGACGTTAAACGCCGCCGGACAACTCAGGGAACTAATCTGATGAAGCCTAATCCCACAAAAGCACAAGACAGCGTCGCATGACGAGTTCGGCTGAGGAATGTGAATGTTCCGACTCTGAAGCGAACTCTGGAGCGAGTTAACACACTTCTGCGAGTCATCGGGCATCATCGGAAGGTCCGAACTCGCCGGCGGCTCAGCCGGCTGGACTTGGAGAGCAGACCGAGCGTGAGCCGCGAAAAGCCAAGCGGCTAGGACTGGACAGCACCGGCTACGGTCGAGGTTATGTCCGCATGCGTCGTTTACGCCACCGAATAACTCAGCTGATAAGTCGAGCCGGCAGATTTCGGCTTCGGTCTGCACCGGAAATGCGGGGACGGTGTTCGGATTATAATCTCCGGGTTTTAAGGGATGTGCCGGTTCGGCAAGGAGACCGGCGAGTGAGTTGTTGAAGAGAGAGAATGTAATAATGGAAAACATAAGAGATGCTGATAATCTGAATTTCTTCATTGTGAGTTTGGGGAAATCGACTCTCATTTTCACTAGTGAAAAGGGAGGGAAGGGCCAAAAAGTAGAGAAACTGCTTGGAAATTAGAGAAAGGAAAAGAGAAGGCTGACTTTGAATGAAACTTTTTCCTTTTCGAGGGAAATCTGAGGAGTGAATGGGTTATTTTCTCTGTGTTTTTTCCTGGGAAAATAATGTGAGTGTTTGTTTGTAAACAAAAAAGAGGAGATTCAGGGGATACTCAAAGAAAGGTCTGATTTGCTTTACTTGAAAGAGCTTAACCAAGAGAAAGAGAAAGAGTTCTCTCTCTCTCTCTCTACAATGAGCTGAGGATGATTGAAGAGAGCGGGGAAATAAAAGGATGATGAGGGATCTCTCTTGATTTATGCGCGACGCTCCAAGTTCACGAAATGAATTTGATTTATTCGCAAATTCGAGAGAGAAAAGCAGAGAGGAAAGTGGCGGGGTGGGCGAGGAAAAAGATTCGTGGGTAGAGAGAGAGAGAGAGGAAAAAGGGCATCATAGAAGAAGACAGAATGAAAAGGAAAGGCTGTATAAGGAATTGGCAGCTTGTGTCCTTTTCTTTTTCATTCTCCGTCGCTCTCTGGCTGATGTTAAAGTGGCATGTGCTCTTTTGGTGAGGGAGAGCTGTGACTGATTACAGGCAGGGCAATGTGCGGGAAGCACATAAAAAATTGTTTGCAATATTGTACTCAAAATCCATTTTATTAGTTTAAGGGTTTTTTATTTCATGACAGATATATTAAAAATAGAATCGCACATGAATTATATTAGTAATCAAAATATCCAATTTGCCCCCGACCCTATGCCTTTTGGCATTATTGTACAATTAGCTAATGTCCATACTTAAAAACACTCCATAAGAATTTAAACCCATTATTTTTAAAAATAATTGGGCAGATTTTTTTAAAAAAATATGACTACAAAAGAATAGCAATGTCTACACAATTTTCCTAATCATATCATGAAAAGTTAGTAACTGTTACAAAATTTTTAGAAGTAAAAAAAAAATTAAATCAACATGCCTCCATATGCTTATGCCATTTTTTTTCTTTTAATCTTTAAGAATGTTCGGATCAGTTTATGTGTACTTGAATTAATCATTTCCTCAATCTGGTCTAAAGTAGATCTTCTACACTAGAATTAGGGTATTCATAAATAATGATGCATAAATTAGTCTCGTGCAAGATTAATAGTCAAGTATATGAAGGGGTATAATTGATGAGCAATAAATAAAGAAATCAATGGCAAAACGATAAATAAGGACAACAAACACGCAGATATATAATGCTTTGGTCCGGGTGACCTACTCCACTCTCGAAAAACGGCAACGGTGGCCGGAGATCTTTATTGATGAATAAAGTAACCGGAATAGTACACTCCAGGAGAATTACAATGGTTAACAAAAAGAAGTTATGTGTGTGTAGAGAGATGTAGAGGTGTGTTAGGAGATGTGTGTGTGAGATGTAAAGATGCCTCTCCTTGTGGAGAGAGTTTACAATATATATGTGTTGGTGAGGCGGTGACGTGAGGGAGAGGACATCACTTATTTGGTAAGAGCAATTAAGGGGATTTGATCTCCATAAGTATATATCCCGATATTCTCTCTCCCACGTGCTCTTATATTTTTTGACTTCTTGGATCTTGGACTGTGTTAGATTGGTGAAGTGGGCTTGGGTTGCCTTTTAGATGACTTGGGCTCAGTTAATTTATTGGGCCTAGCCCAGTCGATTTTGAGCGCGTCATTTGCCCCCCATGTCCCAAGTCTTTGCGACGTCAAGGAGGTTGAGGCCATGAGTGAGCCTCTGGACGGATAAAGGTTTCTTGTTCTGCATGGTGGTAGTTATTTTAGTCTTTCCTCTCTGCGTACCTCTAGAGCTCACTTTGTTATTTTTCATATCTTGCTGCTGAAGACTACTATGAGCTAAAAGGAGATTTCATCCTTTCATATTAAAAGCCATTCTCTTACATTTAGGGCATACCCCTTAGGGTATCATTCGTGTAGAGCTCCTAGGTCGTGTCATTGCAAAGCTTCAAGGCGAAAGAAGCATGGGTGGCCCCTTTGCGTAGAAGGCAACAACTATGTTGTCCTAGGCAACACCCCACATGTGGCTGGAGGAAATGGAGTTCTGAGCGAAGATAGGAAGGGGAATGCACTTATGAGAGGAGACGGCGCTGGCCTCGGCCTGGGCAACGCCAGGCAATGCTTGGACCTGGGTGACGCCAGCCCGCCCCTTAGCTTAGGTGACGCCCTGGGCAGAGGAAAAGAGGATGGCTCCTTGTGGGCATCATATAGGCGACACCTATGGCACTGAAGCTGTCGCTAATGTGGGTTAGAGCAGGAGGGGTGACGCCTTGTAGGCGACACCAGGCTGGGGTATGCCTTGCAAGCACTGGGCGGCGCCAGAAGGTATGTGCTAGCTTGGCGGCGCCAAGAGGAGGTTGGGCGCTGGCTAGAGTATCAAAAAATTATAAAAAATGTGTAAAACTTTGAACGATCATAACTCTGTACTCGGTTGTCCGTTGGAAGAAAATTATTTTTTGAATCTGGGTATTTTTTTTCGAGATCTACGACATACAAATAGCCAGAGGTGATTTGGTCAACAAATTTTCAAAAAAAATACTTCTATCTCTCTGAATTTGAGTTTCAAGCACAAATTATTGACACCGATAGTGGTGAGAAGTTGCGTTCTGGCAGTCAACTATCAGGCATTCATGGGCGATGAATTGGCATTCTAGGTTTTTGCCAGAGATGGAGAATATGATGGCTTTTGACTGGGTAAGAGGCGAACCCGCTTTCTCCAACCCTGTTTTCTCTCCTTAATATTTTCTCAATGCTGATTCTTTATACTGACCTTATTTCTAATTGCAGGGGCCTTGTTGATAAGGCGATGATGGAGGTTCTCTATGCTTTAGGGTGGTGTCTTTCCCTCCTTTTAAGATGGCGAGGTTTGATACCCCCAGTACTTCCAGTCAAGGTCCGATGGTTAGGTTGCTTATCAGGAGATGGGACTCAGTGGTGCCCCCACTCCTTTTCAAACTGGGACTTCTGTGTGTACTAGAGATAGTCCTTGTACCGCTGTAGGAGTTGAGACTCTAGTGCGGTCTTCTACGGGGACTGTAGCTCTACATAGCTGTCTTGCTTCTAGTAGTGGCTTGGTGTCCATGGTTTGACTTGACTTTAGTCAAGAAGCAACTTTGGGGGTCCGTGACTCTTAGGGATATTAGAGAGGTTGAATCTCGAGGTCCAAAGGGCATTATCAACTTTGATTTTGTACTCGCCTTCTTTCTTTCATATTCTGCTTTTTAAATGTTTGCTAGTAGCTGCCTTTTTTCTCTTACCCTTTTCAAGGACTGAAGCTTGGAGAGGCATTCAGGCATTTGGTAACAGAAAGGCAAGCACGGGGGCTGCTGAGAGTAGTTGAGGTTGGCTCATGAAAGAGTAATACCTCTTGAGACCTCACTTTTGGCAACTCGTAAAAGTGGCGCTAAACCAGAAATTGAGGTTGTTTGGGAGCAGAGATAAAATTAGGCCAAGCTTCTTGGCGACTCGAGAGAGAGTGCGAAGCTAGATATATAGGCTGCTTAGGAGCAGAGGTAGGATAAGATTGAGCTTTTTGGTAACTCACGAGAGTGCGAAGCTGGATATATAGACTGCTTGGGAGGAGATGTAGATTCAGGCCGAGCTTCTTGGTGACTCGTGAGAGAGTACGAAACTGTATACATAGACTACTTAGGAGCAGAGGTAGGATTCAGGCCGAGCTTATTGATGACTCGCGAGAGAGTGTGAAGCTGGATACATAAGTTACTTAGGAGGAGAGGTAGGATTAGGCTGAACTTTTTGGCGACTCATGAGAGAGTGCAAAGCTGGATGCATAGGCTGCTTAGGAGTAGAAGTAGGATTAGGTCGAACTTCTTCACAACTCGCGAGAAAGTGCGAAGTTGGATACATAGACTACTTGGGAGCAAAGGTAGATTTAGGCCGAGCTTTTTGGGTACTCATGAGAGAGTGCGAAGTTGGAGATTGATAAGATGATTGTCTGTACGAGAACAGAGTCAGAGCTGCAAGCGCTCCATGAGAGGGATATTGGAGCTGAGGCCGAGCTACGTATAGCTCAAGGGAGAGCTGTCGTGGCAGAAGCTCATTTCATTGAGATGGAGATGAGGAGGGCGCCGCGCTTAGGAGCTGGGCGCCTGAGGTGCTAAGCGTCTGGTTGCTAGGCGCTTGAGCCTGGTGCTTGGTGCTTGGCGACTGAGGCTAGGCGCTTGGTGTTGGTTACATGGTGTTGGGCACCTAGTGCTAGGCGCTTGGTGCAGGGTGCCTGGTGCTAGCCCTTGGTGATGGGTGCCTGCTAAGAGGGGCATTACAAACGCCTTTATTAATGGTTATGAAGGGCTTGGTAGCTTTCCCTACTATTGATTTCTCTGGCTTCGTCCCCTATGAGGCACCAACAGTAGTTGGTAACGGGGAGAGCCTTGATGATAGTGGTTGTGGCTTGGAAAACAGTGATTGATCGTTGGGAGTAGCCTTAATCATTGGAAGTATGACGACTGTTGTTTTTTTGTCTACCTTGTTATTAGGTTATGTTCTGACTTTTGTAAGCTATTTACAAGCTTTATGAAAGAAAAACAAGACAGTTATGGACACAATAATATTCGCAGAGTTTTATTTCATAAAATAATAAATAAAAAAATAAATCAATTGAAACAATAAAGAATAGCTAAAATTTTTAAGTGATCGGTGTCCTACAAGTGGGCCAAGACTTTCCTGGTGGAGTTGGAGTCGCTTCCTCCTCCTAGCGTTTAGGAGATTGTCTGGATTTCTCCAAGGGGTTGTTGATGTTCTCTGTCATCCTGGTCTCGCCCAGGTGGCGAGACTTGTCCTCTGCCAGTAACGTACCACCTTAATTGGCCACGATGTATGAGCTTCTCGATCTACCTTTTAAGATCAAAATAGTCCTCAGTATTGTGGCTGTGGTTGCAGTGGAAATGACAGTACTTATTCGGGCTCCTACAGTTTGGGGTGGACTTCATTTTTCTAGGCCAACAGAGAGTGGGGTCATCCTGTATCTAGAACAGGATGTGTTCCATTGAGGCGTTGAGTGGCATGAAAGGTTGTCATTCTCTCCGGGGTACTGGATCGAGACGGTCTTTGACAGAGACTCTTGGTTCTCTGTCTCTTGCTCTTTTCCTCTCTCTTGTCTTCGTGGGTGTCCTTCATTTTCTCTCATCCTTGGTAGGACTCACCTCGACTGAATTTGGTGACATCCTCAGCGTTTATGTACTTTTGTGCCTTTGACAGCAGCTCGAGTATGTTGCAAAGTGGCTTCTTAGGACAAAGAGCATAAAACTAGAGGAGTACAGACCTACAACGAAGGCGGCTAGGGCTACTTTATCGTCTGACTCTTCAATCTGGAGAGCCTCCACATTAAAACGAGTGAGA